CGTCAAGATTCATTATGCTATGTCGGTGTGACTAAGCTCTAATGAGCGCTCTTGCCGAGTTTTACAACGTTAATTAAGAGAATATGATACTGGTGCAGGTTTTTCGGACAACGACAGCTTTTAATATATAAACCAAACCACATGTGATGTTCTTTTTGCGTCATCTTTTCATTTGAATAATTAGGATAATGATGAGGAATGAGGTCGCTTAAAAGTTTTTTGTTAATAAATTGTGTTCATCGTAATTAAAGGCATTCCACAAAAAAGGCACACAAATCTCAAAAATTATTCCTAACTTTAAAAAAAAAATCACTCTCAAAAAGTACCACTAACTGCCACTCAATAGCACTGACATCCGATTTTTCATAAACTTTGAATAAGCGATGAAAATTCTAAAGATAGATAAAAGGTTCAATGGTTAAAAAATTATCATCATCTTCAGCACCAAATTATTAGCATCAACAACAATTCTGTTCTTTACCTTTTTTATTGAAATTCAAAATTATGTCTTCCTTTAAAAATCTCATAATTTTTTTATTGTTGTGCTAATTTTATTTTTTACTTACTCAAATCTGTTCTTTTCCGTAACAAAATTCCTCAAAATATTTGCTACACCTTATTGTTGCAATAAAAACAAATATTTATAGATAAATAATCAATTAATTAAGCAAGAAAATATGAAAAGTTGCCATCATCATTAATGAATCCGTGATGGATGTAAACTCAGATTGTCAAAACGAAAACTCCTAAACTTGAATATCACGCTTGCAACTGCTTACGTTAATTGATTTAGCAGTGATCTGTCATTTCGATAATGGCGTGTTCCATTTGCGAGATGCACTTTCAAATAATTCCCAACATTTTTAATCTAATAATGAAATCGTCAATTAGCCGGTCATGATAAATAACTAGGGAACACGAGCGTACTGATTCCAATTATGGAAAATTGAAATTATAATTGAAATAGTTTTGTTCTCCGATTAATTAATTAAACATCAGGAAAACAAACGTATTTTAGCGGGACCTATGTACTTTTTAATTCAATTAATGCGTCGCTTCAACAGACGCGCCGACATGAAAATGTTCTCATGTATTGAGATTTAATTATGTAATTTTTAATTGATTTTTGGGAGCAAACTCGTCGTAAATTAATTAAAATTATTCCAGGCTTAGCACTGCGTTAATTAATTTTTTAAAAATATTCTATATGATCCGTTATGAGTGTTTTGACATTTGTAAATGTTTGGATGACCCAAGAAATATGTATACCAATAATTTATACACAGTTACAAAAAGCTGCATACGTAAATTTTTCTCATTTTTTTCAAAATTCGGTGTATGACAAATTAACAGGTTTTTAGCAGAATGTATTAGTAACAAGCCCAAATAAAGCAACTGGCTTTATACAAATTCTTCATAAAAACATATTAAAATGAATTGAAAAAGTCTGGTGTGAACATCACACGACTTTCCTTATCCTACTTATTTGAAAGCATCCTTACGACAATAATTTAGTGTTAGAAATCTGAGTAGCAAACTTAACGTTTGCGTTCGAGGTTCGAGTATGGGGTGCATTTTTTTAGTTTGGTACTCATTATTATTTTTATTTTATCACATTTTATTGTTCAATAATTCTAAATAATTTTTATCTTCATGAATTTAGGGTATTTTCAACCGTATAATTTTGCGGCCGATTTTTGGTCTTTGCGACCGAACGGTGCGACCGATTTTTACCAAATGTTTCGTGCTGCGTTCCCTTCCTACAAGTAACTTACATACCAAATTTTAAGTTTCTAGCTCTTATCGACGAACACACACACGACCCAATGGCCCAAACCAACTTTTTTGGTGTCTTGAAGCTATAATTCGTCAAATTTCAGACGATTACAATACTTTCCTTATGGATAAGGAAAGTAAAAAATTGTACAACTATTAACATTTTCATAGATTCCCACTAAATCTAAAAATGAACGACTTGAATTTAAAGTAAATATTTTTAGATGAGCATTTTTTGTATTTCTAAGAAAAAAATCGGTTCTGCTTCTCTACATTTTAACCTACAACTACAACTAACTAAACTGACATCACATGTTCGCGTCAAGTGACATGTAAACAGATACATAAAGGCAGTAGTTCCGGGAGTTTTGCCAAAGATATTTTAAAAATTTGTTTTTGACTTAAATTTAAAACTTAAATGTTATTTAGTCAAGAGAATTAGTTTTGGGACCAGTATATTAATAAAATTTGTCGAAATATTAATCTGTCGTCTTAGTAATAAGATGCAACGACACAATCATCCTTGAAAGAAAGTCATTAAAAAATTATCAAATTTTGAAAAACATGATAAATGACAGTTGGAAAGTGGCCATTTCCCAACCCGAACTGTCATATTACTATCAACTGATGAGGAAGTGTCCACTTCCCAACCTGACCTGATATTTTATATCAATTGAAATAAAGTTTAAATGTCATACTATCCACTTTTCACAGGCAAGGTAATTTTATCAATAATTTATGATTGTTGATAAAATATTTTTCTAATTTAGAACTAGATTTAACTTTTATTTTATCAGAGTCTCACCCATGCGTATGTTTCACATTCAATACATTAGATAAAAAGAAGGGTTCTGAATACTGACAGAGTGTTTTAAAGACAATAAAACCCGATGACAGGAAAAGAAATAAAACATGTCCTAAACTACAAATCAAGCATGCAAGGGCACAGACATCGCGGCTGCTTCTCTCTTATTACTGTGTCATTTCAACCACCTTCGACCTGATATGGTAGTAAACTTTCCATCTCATGCATAGCTACCGCTGTCATACAAATTTAAAATGTAATCACATTTGTAAAGAACTTTAAAATAAATTTGTTATATGTAATCATTATTTTATTGCAATCGTATTTCGAATTTATTTGAGAATAACAAATTGAAGCCACAGCCCTAGGTCTCAGTATAATTATGTATGAGAAAGCTTCATTTATTTGCAATAACTATTTGCTCATCCCTTATTATTATTAATGAAAACATGGTCAAGAGTGTAACGAAAACTCGCTTCGTTCCATACTTTTTATTCGAAGGTGTTTGCTATTTTTTTTCACTTTCGAATAGCTCATTTCATCAAAGTTTTTGCTTTTGTTAGTGACAAAGTTTTTAATCAAATAAAGGAACTAAATGTACAAAAAAAAAAACAAACGAAAATCAAATTGATATTTGACTAATGAAAAACAGCATTCTGCTATTCAAATAAAAAAAGTATAAAACAAACTTAATGTAATAAATAACCAATAAAAATTGACTTTAATTAATAAATCAGCAATTAAATCAGTAGATGACAACACATCGCGTTACAGTAGAACCCCTCTATAACGAGAAATCAAGGGGCCAACGTATTTACTCGATATAACTGTGCAAATTATTTTATTAAATACGAATATTAAAAAAGTTTAAAATAATATTTAAGAAAAATCTGTAATTTTTGTTTGTTTTTTTGTAATGAAGTATTTTTATTTTATCAATTGGACTTTCCAAGACTAATGTAAAAGACATCGTGGTTAGGTGGAAGCACCCAATAACAAAAAAATTCATCTCTAGAAAATCCCCAATTTTTTCTGCAAATTGTTCTGTTTTTTCTCTTAATTTGGCCCTACTTATGGACACATTGGATTCGCGATTCACTTTGAACTATTCAAGAACGGCTTTATCTAATTTAGCATTTTTAGCAGTGTGTACTTCTTCACTTTTGACGAAAATTCACCAGTTGAACTCGTAATCTTTTAAAATTGTTGCTAATGTAGAATTGGCTAAATTTTTCTCTTTGCAGATTACAGTTGTTTTTTACCACTTTCGAACTCTCTTATTATTGATATTTTTTCTTTGATAGAAAACGTTTTTCTTTTCGAGGACGACATATTGATACAGAAAGACGAAGTGTTCTCTGCTTGAAAAGTTATTCAAGACTGAAAAAGTGAGAAAAATAAGACCATTAGCGCGCAAAAACAACATTTCCAAAAAAATTCTGGTACACAATACGTAATGGAGACTCGCAGGATTTTTGTTTCTTCTAGGAACTCTCGTTATAACCGATCTGTTTCCGAAATTTTGGACAAAATAAAAGTTTTGTTATATCCATCCCAAATTTAGAAAAATACGCGCTATAGAAGGAGATCAGACGATTTACTCGTTATTGCCGATTTTTCGTTATAACCGAGATTCGTTATAGAGGAGTTCCACTGTTATAATCAAATCAAATTAATCAAATCGCTTTAATCTAGTCCAAAGTACACTTGAGTACAAAAAAAAAACGAAAAATTGTTTTTTTTTATAATGTAATTTGGCCTGTTAATAATTTAAAATTGCTTTCGTCAATCATTATTGCTCTACTATTTTTTCAAACTGCTTCTGAAATAAGATCTTTATATCATCTAAGATCTTTCATGCATGATCTAGAAATTGACTTGCAATTTATGTACATATATTTTCCTATTTATTGCTGCCATAATGCATACTTTTACCTTAAACGGAACTTTTAAATGCAGTCCTCAGTACACAAATGCAGTATGAGAATAATTTTAAATACTGTACTTATGCTAAGAACGTTGCGTGTATTGCTTCGTGAAACACTCGGTAGTTCCCATACTGAGTCTAGTGTACTGCTTCATAATTCAAGATAGCTATTAGTCATATCGATCCGTGAGCCACTAATTCGTTTCATCTAGTAGAAACAAAGATGCATTTTTTGTTTTGTATAACTAGATTAGTTTTTACTTTGAATTTAAATTATTTTTAGCTTTGTTACCTTTTATGTGTAAAGTTGGGGTATTGTGGTGATTTATTGGATATCACGTTTTGGTGTAATTGATTGAATAAGAAAGTTTTTAAGACGTGGCTGCCTCATCGTTTCTTTTGTACAATAAAAGTTATGATGATTTGGTTGGTGGAAAAAAAACTTAATCTTAATCTGGGGAGTTAGAATGGCGAGGTAATAAAACACAAAAATGAATTAAATTCGTTTTATTGTGGAATGCACACAGAATGAAACAAAACTTTGATATAGAAATATTTGAGCAAATCATTTCAGTGTATGACCTTTATTAAAAGTGAAACAAGGTGAGAATGATGAAGTTTATTACAGATGTGACTGAGTGTTTGGGGCAGGAGTTTTGGTTTATTGCACACAATTTTAAGTTTTAACGAAGTAAACATTGTATGAGCGGAGGAGTTTTCCTTCAGTACTTTAACAAGAAAATTTCAAATGAAAAAACAACAATGTCTGCATAAAATAACCGACAGTTCTCTTCGGGTGCATAAAATAAAACAAATATCAATTAGGAATAATTAAAAATATTAACTAGTAACAACAAGAGCAACGAGAAATAAAACCATAATACAATAATTTATACAATATAATCACAAAGTTTAGATCGGGGCAAGATTGCGGAAAACTCGGGATCTCTCCTCCTTCGAAGTGAAATCCGTCGACGTGATGTACATAAATATCATTTACATTTTTTCCAATATTTCCCGTGTAATATCAGCGCCTTATTGCAATCCTTATGTTAAAATTATTTACACAATAAAAAAGTTGTTGACATTCGCGCTCTACAACAAACTTCAACATGTTAAGTACACTGAATTGAGTCCCATTAGCTACGTCATACAGATGGCTTGAGACTTAACCAATCCTTGTATAACAAAGTTCAAGTAACACTAGATTTTCTAACAATATTTGTACACTGCTTCGGTGGAAGTCCGACTGTCACGCGCTATTTTACAGAAAAAACGAGACTTGCAACCGATCACTCGTGGTTATCACTGTACAAGGAGAAGCTTCGTTGTCCGTAGGAAAACCTGACTTCATTCATCATACCCAGTGGCAGGAAACTGTTCTGGAGGAGGTAGGGATGTCCCACTGTTATCGATGTATGTTGAGGCGTCAAACCTGGAACAATTTTAGACTTAGATCAGACTTTGCCAAATTACTACAACGCTTCAATAAAGCTAAAATGTTCAACACCTTGCACATTTAATCGGTAAAAATTCTTATAACTAGAAATTACTCTATTTTTATCCTTGGAAGTTTTTGAACAATATAAATTACTAGATTATCGTTGTATAAAAACCCTGTACATTTCGATTTTTTATCGGGGCAGATGCGGGTGCCGGGCACCCATTGAAAATAATGTACTCTTGCTCAAGGTAAAAAAATAACTCTTTACACGAAAGTTATAATTTTTTATAGATTTTAAATGAGTTCAAAAAATTATTTAAAAAAGTCCACCACGTCACGATTATGTAATTAACAAAAATGAGTTATTTTACTTTGTTTTTTTTTCTACGTGTTTGGATCAGTTTTCTTTACATTTTCATCCCAAAAACTTTTGTGTAGATCTTTGAAAACCCTTTAGATCTCGATGAAAACGCTCGCCCTGTTCGTCACTCACGCTGTCTAAGTTTTTAGAAAATAAGTCCAAATGCAAAATGAAATGTATTTTAAGACCCATTTAAAGTAATTCAGCAACAATTTGAATCGTAAATAAATTTTAAATCGGAAAGCAGGAAAATTATTGTTCGTAACAAAAAACTGTGAGGTGATAAAAAAATTAACAATTATTTTTGTTTAATTAAAGGTAAATAGACATAAAAATAATAATTTGATTAAAGGTATATTTAACAAGTAATTATTTGTAAACTAATGTAATATTTGAAATTTCGAATTTATTCCCTTCATAACCACTTTAGTGTCAAAGATGTCTTAAATTTTCTATTTTTCTAGTTTCCTCTTCGAGAAAATGGATCAAATTCATCGTAATATATATGTATGTTATTCTATTTATTTCAAATTAATTCAAAATTAAGCTTTTCAGTGAAAAACTCGTTGGAAAAATATTTCAAAACGACAAAACATTCTACATAAACTTTTTATATACTATTTCAAAAAATTTAGAAAAAATAATTTTTTTTACAATTTCAGACAATTTTTGAAATGAAAAATTTCGAAAAATCTATTTTGAAGTTTCAAGTTTGTAGTTTCAAAATAGCGCACGAAAAAAATTGTACTTTTTCCTTATTTTTGGTCCACAGACTTGAGAAATTTTTATTAGTTAAGTCAATACATTTGTTAAGTCAATTTGCCTTTTTATGTTCTCTTTGTCCATTTGTTGCTAAGATATTTGATTTGATTAATGAAAAAAAAATCTTTTTGTCTTTGATCACCGATATCTTCGCAACCAATGACCGCACAGAGAATGTAAAGATGGTTTCAAAAACTGGAATAAAGTTTCTACAAGATGTTTTCACGATTTAAAAAAAATATTTGCAACACTGATTTAAAGAAAAGAGAAAGAAGTTAGATTTTTTGTTGTTGTAGTAAATCTACCGCATATTTACAAGTATTGATGGGGAGGTTAATGTGCCTAGGTTTTTTTACAGCCTAATAGATCTAAATTTTTGAATCGATCCATCAAATTGTTTTCTTGGAAGTTTTACAAAAGAATTAAAGGAATTAATTGTTTCTGAACATTGTGTAATTTTCATCAAAATGAGGAAAACAATTTTTACCTCTTTTTACAATTCTGCATGTTAAATAAAAAAAAATATTCGAAAGAATTTTTTTTTATTTTTGGAAATTCGTAAAAAATCAAGAACGTAAACTGACTAAAAAAACTTAAATATTAAAACAATAAAAAAATAATTGACATTAATTTCAAAAAGCGAGAGTTAATCTCAAAAATTAAAGAAATAAGAAGAACGCAAAAACTACTATCACAAAAAGTAAAATTTTTAAAGTTTTTTTCTTTAAAATAACGAAAACTAAAACTTACAAATTAATTTTGACAGTTTAGGAACTGAATTTATTACTAGAAACGCTTGAATTAAACCGAGGAATGCTACAAATAAGAAAAAAAGCACATTTTCAGCGAATAATTTTTTTCTTTTTGAAATTTATGTGTATTGTTTTTTTTATTTCTAGCCTGTTTAAAACTTGTGTATAATGATACCATTTTTTAGTTTATTGTTTTTGTCAATTCTTCTTTGTGCACTGTGATTTTTTATTTAATTTTTTCTTTAGTTTTTTTATAAGAAAAAAAATCTGGAGTTTCTTTCTTTCACTTTCCTTCCATGTTCTTGATTTTTTAACCAAATTCTTTTTCCAATTTTAAGTGTAGTTTACATTTTGATGGTTTCTTCATTTTAGTAGCTGTAGGTGCCAACAAAATAAAAAAATTGTTTTCTATTTTTGTTTCTTCTTTAATTCTTTTTTCTACACTGTTATATTTGTGCATATTTTCATTTATTCTAAGCACTTTTCCTTTTTTTGGATGCGTTGTTTTATGGATTATTTCAATTTTTTTATTTTGTTATATTGTGGTTTGAAATTTTTTCTATTTCAGAAACTAATTTTTGAAACCATTTGCATACCCTCAAACTAATTGCATTAATTAAAAATTGATACTCCCAAGCTGTATTCAGCACTTATTATTTATTATTATTTTTAATTGTTTCCGATTTTTTTTTAATTTAACAGTAATGTATTGCTTTTAAATACTCAACAACTTGAAGCATTTTGCAACTTTGAACATATACTATTTTTTTTACACTTTTTCTTGTATGTTATTTATTGTTTTTTTTCTTTTATACTATACAAAAAATTGTATGGGAAGAAGAAATCGTTTTGTCCCGTAATTGTTTTTCTTGTACACGAAAAGTCTTCGCCCATGGCCCAATCCACTACTTTATAACATTTCTAAACAAGGAAAAAAAAGTTTATTGCAAGAAACATGTGTGGTAAAGTGTATTAGTCATCGCGGAGTTGTTTAGATGAATAAACTGAGATAATTCGGTATCGCGGTCGCAAGCGCCCAGAGTGCCTATGTAAATTCATTAACGAAATTAATTTATTCGTCTGTTATTAGAGGGCAGCATAATGGCTTGGTGTTCATACTAGTCTAGGCTTGTGTGGAAAGCAACGCCTACCTAGATAGCGCGCAAAGTGAGTTGTGTACTCAGCACAAAGTAATCTAAATTAATGCGTAGTGATTCTAGTCAGTTTGTGCACGATATCGACACTTTTAGTACCTAATGGAAAGTAAACATCGTTGAGAATCCGAATTGAAATTGTTTCGGCCTTTGCCTCTTACCCATTCTTGCACTCCGAGCGGGTGGTAGGTATTATCTTTGCAATTGTTTCTACTTGACATTAACAACGCTGCGAAATTGCTAATGAATGTTTGTAGAAACAGAGATATATGTATAATTTTAGCGGAATTAGCTAATATTAACCCTTTGTGTCATATCAGCTTAATTTATAATTAATTTCCATTTTAACAAATTACATAGGACGACGTTTCTTAATGAAATGATAACAATACGAAAAACTTGATATAATTATATAAAAATATATTTCATTCAAGACTTGTACGTGCGTGTACAGATCGCGCCCCTCGTGACGCTAGAAATAATTAATTCAACAAAAATGCTTTCCCTGCTTCGGTAACGCTAATAACAGAAGTGTTAAAAACGCAAGGAAGCTCTTTGCCTATTAAAGAGAACGAACTGATGCTCCATAAATAAGTGTTATAATACAATATCAATTTTTGCACAAGACAACTTTTTATTTTTCAGAAACCGGTTCTGTTGTTTTCCGTTAATTGAAATTCGATGTGGTTCAATTTATAAATTACGATTAGGTAGTTGGAGGCATTTACATTAAGAGTGATCAATAATGTATGTTCAGAATGCATTAATTCATTTCCTAACATACAGGAAACAATTTCTTTCGTTGGGAACAAGATGAGAGGGAGGGTAGGAAGTCGGGCCAGGGAAGAGCGAGGGTTCAATCTCGCTAATGGGCAATGAGGGCCACTGACAACCTCACATGGGTTCATCAGGATTATATCAATAAAAACTTCCAATACCATTCACATCGGCGTCTTATTCAAGCTGCCAGTTATTTTCGAAAGTGCATGCTGTTTAGAAACCAAACTCCATTCAATCATTTCTATAAATACGCAAATTATTTTTATGCCTTCTATACCGGGTGGGGCATCGGTTACGCGCACTTGATAAATCGCGACTTCAAATTAATTAAAACTGGCGATATTTCATACAACTAACTAATTATTGATAGGGTATACTTTGAGAATTTTTCTAATTTTTTTTGATAATAAATGAGTCCGTAACAGTTTTGTGTGTTTTATGAATGCTTTCTGTTAATTTACCTATAAAGTTTTTACACTAAATGAATCTGTACCTGTCAGCGCATCAAACTTTGATATCACAATTTCAAATTTTGACTTGTTTTTTTTAAACACAAATCAGACCCGTGATTTCTGACAAAATGGTATAATTTGCCAACAAAAGAATCATTTACTGGTAGCCGACCGCTTTAAAAGGTCTTTTTGTTGTAAACCTTGGAATCTTACCCCAATTGCAGTTRCCCATTGTCACCTAAATTTASGATGSCACAAGTAGCAGGTCATAAATAAAAATGATTTTCAAAGTTAAGATGGAAAATTGCGTTTAATTCAAAATCTAATTGGTATTTRTTTTGTGATTTTGTAAACAATTGTAGGAAGTGAATCTGCGTAGGTCAGTATAAAAATTAGAATTAAACTTTTTGGAAGAAAATTACTTTTTATTTTTTTTGGCTTTGTTTGTAAATGAAAAATCATCAAAAAATTAGAGAATGTACCTTACTAATGCCCAGGTGAGTGTGAAAAAATTCAACAATTTTATTTAATTAGAAGTGGGGATTTCTTTTCTGCGCGTAACCGATGCCCCACCRTGTATACCGCATTTAAAAAATGTACTCAATTTTAAAAGAAGCGAAAGTGTTGTTTCATGCTACGTTGATTCCTAAACCTATGTTACAAGTTACGACGTCTTGTTCGACATCGCTCCTCCTCAGTTTACTTTTCGATAATTAATTAAATAATGTTG